CTCCCTTTCTCTGTTCATGTAGATTTGGTTTATCAGCAGCAGACGCGAACTTGCAACTTGCGACTCGCGACGCCTAGTGACACATGCGGCACGGCGCAGATAAGAGGCTCCGACTGTGGCACAGCTGCCCGAGGCATTCGACGCACATGTCCGCCATGTCGCTGGCTTGCCGTGTTGTACTTAACACAAAAGTTCAGCTGCATTCGTTGCCCGCTTTTTGGGGTTAAAAATCTTGTGAAAAAACGCAAATGCCGAATGCCATAAAAATGATGCGGCAATTGCCAAGCGAGCTGCTAGCCGGCTGTCGACGCTCGACGCTCGACGTTCGAGTACCGATCTCAATCGAAGACCATGCCCCTGCCTCTGTTCATGACTTCTGTTGCCGGCTGTGTGGCATGTGTGAAACAAAGCCACATATGTATGTCTGTGGCAAAGGCAAACGGGGGCAACCAGGGTAGGCCGTACGCAGAAGCAGGCAGAAAAAACCGAACGTCCTTGCCGGCAGACCGCAGCAGCAGCAGCAGCAGCAACAGCAGCCGCGGCAGCGGCAGGAAGCGCCGCCTGTGCCCAATCATAAAAACTTGAAAGAGTCACAGTTGCAACACGATTGCCACGTGTGCTGAATTTCCGCGCAAACGAGGAAAAACTGCGGAAAACTGCGGCACAAACATTTCAAATGTGGCAGCAGTTGTCGTTGCCGCTGCCGCTGCCACTACCATTGCCATTGGCATTGCCACATTGATGATGATCAACACGCTGTGCCGCATATGTCGCACGCAGCAACTGCAACCAGGCCCCGGGGGCAGCTGTTCGCAAACGGTAGCTGGCTGGCAACTTTCTATGCCCCTTGCAATCAAATTGCAACAGCAACGGCAACAGCAGCAGCCGCAGCCGCAGCAGCAACATCAACAACAGCTGCCAATGGCAAAGATCGAGACGGGATCTGGACTATGCGGCGGTCCGCTTGACTTTCATTAGCATTTCTAACGGCCACGCAGCTGCCAGCAGTTGTAAATGAAACTCTGCTCTACTGCTTGATCTACTGCGTAAGCACATATACAGATACATGCATACATACATATGTCTGTATGTACATATTGCTGCTGGACTTGGCACAGTGGCAATTGCTTTATAATAAAAATCTTCGACTCACTGATTTATCTTAAAGTTCCATAAAAAAGTAACATAAAAAATTAGTTAATAGTATTTTCAATTTTTATTAGATCGTTATGAAGACTCTGAATACAGTTAGTAAATATACATATATACATATATCTGATCATATAATAATATATTTAAATACCAATCACACTTCATTTTTAAAGCCAATTTGTAGTTAAATTTCCAGAGATGTAGATATAAAAGTTTAAATAATATCCATTTCTTGAATTTAAAATTGAATTGCGAATGGGCTTTCAAAATAAAGGAGCTTCAGTTTAATTTGTCGAAATTGTACAAACTTAAAGAAGAGATATTCAATTAATCAGCAATGTATAGATAATAATATTTATTCTTATAAACATTTTTTCGTTTGCCATTTCAAATCATTAATCTAAATACTTTAATTTATTTGAGCTAATTCAAAATTATTCGCCCTAGCTTCATTAATTATTTTATTAGCCTAGCAGCCTAAGCAATCAATAGAAATTATTTACCTTTCTCTATATTTGAAAAATATTTTTTAAGGTTTATATATATTTTTGTAAGTCTTATATTCTGTTTATACTATGTATTAAATCTTTTTATTAGTCTCTCGAATTTGATTCTCATATTTGTCGCTCATATTTATAAAGTAAACACTGTGCGAATTGCCAGCAACTGTTGCTGTTGCTATTGCTGTGACTGTTGTTGGTGAAATCAACAAAATTTTGAGCCATGGAGCAGCTGGTGACCGATCTGTCGATCAGTCCAACTGTCCAACTGTCTGGCTGTCCAGCTGTCCAGCTGTTTGGCTGTCTGACTGTCGATTGGCTTTGGGTCCGTTGCATTTGCGTTGTAAATATTTTTAATTGCTATTGGAATTTCTTCGTGTGCGCCTCATGGACACATCTTTCAATTGAAGCCGCAGCTGGAGTCGTGTGGGTTGGCGAACTGTAACACAGCGGCAACGGCAGCAGCAGCAGCAACAGTCGCAGTTGCAGCACTTGTTGCAGGTCCGGTTGATCGAGCTGCAGTTGCTGCATGGCGCATTGCCAAACTGCATTTGGCATTGGCAACATGTTGCTATAGTTGCTGTTGCCATGGCTGTGGCTCTTGCTGCTGCTGTTGTTGCTGCTGCTGTTGCATGACAAGTCATTGGCAAATGTTGCTGCCTGACCGTTTGACATAATAACTGGCCACATTAGCAGCAATTGGCATTAGCCAATTAACTTTTTTTGTAGCTCAGCTGCGAGTGCTTTCCTCTGTCATGGTTTTCCTTATGCGCCGCATTCATTGACACCTGCAATTGTTGCTCGCAATGCCAGCAGCAACATTGTGTTGTGTTGCTGCTGTCGTGTTCATGTTGTTGATTGGCAATCAATTTGTTGTCAGTTTTTATGATTCGCTGTGCGTCAAATGTAGATAACTGTGTTTTTTTCTTCTTCTGCTTCTTCTTCTTCCGCTGCTGGCAATTTGATAATGTTGTTGTTAGTGTTGCAGCCAGCCGAATAGATGAAACTTGTTTATGTTGCTGACATGGCCTTTGCATACCTTTTGTTGTTGCTGCTGCTGTTGTAGCTGACTAACAACAACTGCAACATGTGGGTGCCAACAGTGACGATTGCCAGCACGCGTGTTGCTCAGCCCAGCAGCAATTCAACTCTCAGCAACAGCTACAGCAACAGCTGCTGACAATGTCAAATCTTGCCGGTCTGTCAGTTTTGCTTGTGTCTGCCATTGACTAGACATATGGCCAAGATAAGCGGCATAATTATGCAAATTTGTTATTATAATCAACGGCAGCAACAGCAACAACAACTGTGACGACGACAGCAACATTTTATGGTCGACTTAAATGCCGACAACGGCAATAGCCAAGTGACGCTTATGGAGCGTTAGAATTAACGATAGCAACAATAAGATTAACTGTTGTTACTCTATATATTATATATATATTAATTATATTTTACTGCTATGCAATTTAAGCAACAATTAAACTGAGACTCAAATAGATAAAGCAAAATTTCAATGAAATAATATTTACTTCCTTATGCTATAAATGTATATCCCATATGTTTATATGGATTATGGCTTAGTTATATATAGAGATACATAAAAAAAAAGAGATCTAAAGCTCTAGCTCTAACAATTACTTAATCAACTCTATATCCTAAGCACTACTAGCTGCAGCTGCTAGTTATATAAGCAAAGATTTTTTATTTTATTTTTCTTGTACTCGTAGTCCCAGACAAAGCGCTCATAAATCGCGCTGGCTTTAGGCAGACCCGTAAAGTAACATTGTGCATAAGAGATCGAAGTTGGAAATTTGAATACAAACATTGACGAGCGAGAGAGAAAAAACAGATTTGGAGTCGGATGCCAAGCTGCGGCTACAAATCAATTGAGCCAGTCACAACAATCACATTGAGAGGCGATCGAGTTGGCATGGCTGTCCGTCAGTTCGCCCGCCCGTCCGCCTGTCTGGCTAGGCACAGGTTCCACAGACAAGATCGATGGTACGCATGCATAAATGCCTCCATAATCATTTTGTTGTACGAAATTTAGACGTCACTTAACTGTCAGTCGCTGTAGCTGAAGCGCCTGACGAACTGGACGAACTGCAGCCATGGAGCATATGGCATGTGGCCTGAAGGGGCGGTATAGAGTGTAGCGGGAACGGTCGGGCAGACAGCGCGCACATTGCGCGACAGAATGGAGGAATACAAAAACCCAAACGCGGCACAGCTCTCGGCCAGATCATGTCCATATTTGCATTTTTGAAATGACACATGGAAATTTTTGAAAGCGGAGCAGCCAAAATGGCCAACAGATTGACAGCAGCTGCAACACACACACAAACACGCACACATACATACATGCATACACAGAGGCAGAGACAGACAATATGGAACGGAACGCTAAACGAAAGTCGTGCACAAACTCAAACTGGCGACATATGGATATGGATATGGATATGGTATATGGCTTTATGTATATCTCTGTATGTGTTTGTGATTGCGCTCGTTGCCAAAGATAATTGCTGTCGCATATTTTTGGCGTCCACTTGTTGTCGCCGCAACTGTAACTGCAACTGTTAGTGCAGCCAACTGTCGGCAACATGTGTTGCCTGCTTGGTGCTGCCTTTTCGGGCAACATGTTGCAATCGGAATGCTGGCTGCCAAAATAAATTTAAAAAATATCGCTATCGAATTTATGAAAACACATATTTGAGCACTTTGCACCACTGTGCGAGCCGATGACGTTGCCGGTGCGCCAAGTTCAATGTCTGGAACGACGAAGCAAACGAACACAGAGAGAACGTTGCGATGCCAACGAACGAGAGAGCAATGCAAAAAAAAGAAAACAATATAGCAACAACAAACGCGTAGGCTGTAAAGAGCAATGAGACAAGAACGAAAACAAACACGAATAATAGAGATAACGGAACTTGTACCCGACACTCTAAAGCCAATATAATAATGAAATGAAAACGAGGTTGAAGTTTGACTAAAAGAAGAACAAAGGCAACCATTAAATTCTAAATGAAGGCAGCGCCACTCTAAATACTCTATCTCAATGTAAATTAGTCTGCTATAGGTTTAGTTGATAAATATATAGCTTGAATTAACCTAATTTCTCTCTATAAATATCTGTCGTTTTCCTTCACATTTACGCGTATTATATAATTCAAAAATTCGCCGATTATCATGCTGCTTGTGTTACAAGCGTTTTGATGAATTCGCTAATGTCGGCTTTCGAGTGTATAAAGCGAAATATAAATGCAAAAACAATAAGCATTGCCATGCCGAGAGAGCGCGAACGAGAGAGCAAGTGAGCGAAGAAGAGCAACAGCAAGAGAGCAAGCACCAGACATTGCGCGTCGCCGGCAAATTTGTTCTCTTGTTCCCGTGGCCTAGCCACATTGTTGCTGTTGTTGTCATTTTAGTTTTGTGATAAAGACGCAGGCAAATGGACATGCACAGGCTGATCAACGAGGTTAAGCAGCGCCCGGCCCTGTGGGACGCCAGTCATCCGGAGCATGCAAACCGCGTGGAGACGCTACGCCAATGGCGCAGCGTGGCAGACGCGCTGGGCGTCAAAGGTGAGTCAGCCGCCAAGTCAAGTCGCGCTAAAAGCAAAAGCTGTAACTGTAAGCGCCGTAAATGTCGTTCTCTCTTTCTCGCTTGCTGTTGCTCTCTGACGCACAGTGGAACTGTGTCGCAGTAAGTGGAAGAACTTGCGCTGCAGCTATCGCCGGCACCAGCATCGCACCCAGCACCAACAACAGCAGGTATCGCCATCGCATCAATGGTCCTATGCGGAGGCCATGAGCTTTCTGGACGGGCACCGGCTGCGCGCGGACAGCAGCAACAACGAGGACGACGATTGCGATCTCAACATGACGGAGCCCATGTCATTCAAGACGGAAATGCTATCGGATGAAATGGAGGCGGACAACGATGAGCTGATGCAGCAGTTCCAAAGTATGGCCACGCCTCAAGCACTGCGCCGCCTCTCGCACAGCATTTCGTTGGCAAGCGCCGCCGCCGAGGAGCAGGCGGTGCCACCAGTCAATTCCAAGCCCATGGGCGGCACGCAGTCGGCCACGGCAGCCGCAGCGGCAAGCAGCTGCCATTGCGCCAGGCGTGTGGACGAGCAGGTTAACTTTCTGGAGAGTCTGGAGCGTGAGGAGCAGCAGCTGATACAGTCCACCAGTCAGGATTTGGCGCGCTGCAAGAACATCCTGCACGTGGGCGACTCCGATTACAATTTCCTCATCAGCTTTTTGCCGCTGATGAAGCAAATGTCGCCGTTGCAGAACATTACCTTTCGGGCCAAGATGGGCGAGTTGCTGTTGCAGACGATGCAACAGCCACAACAGCAACAACAACAGCAACAACAACAGCAGCAGCAACAACAACAGGGGCAGCCGCAAATGCAGGAGGAGCAGCCGCAGCCGTCGCAAATGTTGTTGAACCAGCAGCAGATGGCCTTGGACCAGGCCCAACAAGTCAGCACTAGCACCACAAATTGGAATTGAGAGCGCGGCTTTTCGCAGTGAATTGAGAGAATAGAGCGAATTGTAAACGAATCAGTGCGCATGCTCGCCGCACAGTGGGCGGTGTGTGCTAAAAAAAGGCTGAGGAATATTACTTACGACATAAATATAAAATGTTTTCTCCAAAAAATATGATGAAATATTTTTTTTTCCAAATATATGTATATGTATATATATATATGTTTATATATATATGTAAGGTCCCAAGTGTTTGAGATTCGTACAGTTTGCACCATATATGTATGTATGTATTTAAAGCTGTCAATTAAATAATACTCGCTCTGTAATTTTAAAAACTATGCTATAAACAATCCTTCTAGCTGTTACAAATTGTAATTGTAAAAGATTTTATTCGTCTGATAAAGAATATGTTTGGCAAACTGTAAAACGTTTTGAATTTCCGAGTGGAGATTATTTAATCAGTTGATAATTTATACAGTAACCCTTGACTTTAACTGCTTCACTTGTCCGCCCGGGCAAACTGACTCATCAAAACACCCTTAGCCAGACCGAGATCGGAGGTTGTTGTCGTTGGGTTTGCCTTTTGTAGTGCGAAGAAAACATTTTATTGTTAGCATTTGAGCCCTTGTGAAGGGTTAAGCAAAGGGTGCGTGAGAAAATTTGTTGATTTGATCATCAAAAAAACATGGGTTTACGTGTCTTTTTATTTGGTTTGAAATTGGGTTTTGCGTTGATCTAAGATCTCGCATTGGGTTTTTTTTTTTTTTTTTTTTTTTTTTGGGAATCTGTGCGCATAATTGAGAAATGTCACAAGCAATAAAATGACTGAAGGCAAGCAAAGATCGAGAGGTTTTTAATTTGATATAATTATGAGAGAATAAGTGCGCAAAAAGTAAAGCAATAAAAAAGGTGACAAAAAGTATAAAAAAATTTAAGTAGAGATGATAAAAAATTTTATGAAAATGTTTTAGATAACCTTCACTTCAATAGATCAAATTTGTAGTCCAAAATTTTAAGTTAATATTTGAGGATCTCTAATCTCATTCTTCAATACATGACATTAAGTGTTCTTACCCCACACATAAATAGCTAAAACGTAGAGCCAATAAAGCTACAGCTCACAGCTGCCAAATTTCGTCGAGTATCAAAGTTCCTCTCTCTCCCAGCTAGGTGCGCCGTCTACAGTTACCATATAACTGTCTAAGCCAACTGTCATATTTACGTAGCCCCAATCGCAGCTGCAGGAATAGCGCTTCATGATTTCCCATTTGTAGTCATGATCTCATCTCGGCTGGCTTCATCATCGAGTGGAAAGGGATAGCAGATATGCTTGATAGTTGCGTGGGCGTACAACAGCTGCAGAGTGGAGCTTAGGCTGTCTTCTAGACGGCCCACACACTCACACACACACGCACGCACACACACATGTTCAATAAATTACAGTAGAATGAACCCCATGTAACAGGCTATGGCGGCGAGCGTTCAATGGTCAACGGCGGTGGTCCTGTATTAAAAGCCAAGACCAAAGTTAACATGGCCATAAAAGCGGCTACAAAACAAACAACAACGGCAACAGCAACAACAACAACAACCCGATTGGAGAGGTCGCCCGAGAAATCAACGCAGCTGCGGATGACGAATCGAAATTGACATTGAACTGCAGCCGAGGCGACAACAACAACAACAACAGCAGCAGCAACAACAACTTGTTACTTGCCTGTAGCCTGGTTGCCAGTTGGCCAACACACACAGAGACAGGCACACATACAAGCAAAAGCCAGTCAATTGTAAAGGTAAACAATACAAAAAGCGGGCCAAAAAAGTTTAAGGTGTGTTCTTGAGCTTGAAAGTGCTGCTGTTGCTGCTGTTGCTGTTGCTGTTGCTGCTGCTGCAGTGATTGCAGCAGTCAACACTCTTAACTGGGCCCAAACTCAATTGCAAATTAACAGCAGGCCCAGAATCGAATGCAAATTGACATTTGTCACTCGAACGTGCCCACTTGGCAGCTAAATTCCAGCACGAGTTGCTGCTGCTGCTGTTGTCGTTGTCGCTGTTGCAGCAACATGTGTGTGCACATTCCATTGGCCATTTCCATTTCCATTTTCCATGGCCGCGCTTTCAACTATTGCCGCAGCAGAACGTTTATTTTTTCTTTGATGGATTTTCGCACCGTTTTGCTAATCCCCAGCTGAGTTTTTGGTCAGGCATAAACGTGTTAATGACAACAGCAACAACAACAACAACAACACCAACTGCTGCCAAGTCTTACCTGTTGCGCGTCTTTTCATTTGCCTTTCTTTGGTTTTCTTTTTTGTTCTTTTGCCGACAAATGCAAATTTCTCAAATCTATTCTGCTCACGTCAAATATTTGTATAGATTTTCAGGTCCGTTCGCTGGCGTTGCAAGTGCATTGTGGCACACAGGTGTTAGAACTCACAGCTCATTGTTAATGCGTGTGTTTGCATTGTTATTTTATGGCTCTGGATGCTGTTCGTTTGTTCGCTTGGCTGTTGGATGGCTGCAAGACGTTTGCATATTGCGGAATTTCCCAGCATTTGCTCGATTCATCGAAAGGGTTTCCGAAATACCAACCGAAAACCAAATGCTGACGCCTCATGCAACACCTTTCGCATATTTGCATATGGCCCAGAACAAAAGCCGCAACAGGTGCGTCTCACCTGGCCAACAACAAATGTAGTTGCATGCTAACCGATTATGGATTAGAATACGTTTAGTGTTTGTTCGGACAATTGGTTACGCTAGCCGAATCTCAATTGAACAATCCAGAAGTGAGAAGCGGTACGTGTTGGTCATAGACCAAAATTTCATAGGTAAACGAATCTCTAAGAAGTCTGCATACAATGGAGGCATTGAATAGTTAGAGCTGTTCTCTCGGAAGCCGGAGTTGTATAATAGCTAAACTGTATTCCGAAAACCCTTTGAATGGAAGTCCGACATCTGTTAGCTTGCGTCAGTAATTCATTCGTAATTCCCAAATAGTTAAATCAGAAGACTGAATTTTAGAGTATATTTACTGTAAAGTCTTTGCATATATTAAATACCTCTACAGCATATTAATTCAGAGATCTTATAGATCAACATATGTACTCTATGATATATAATTCCCATCGAGTTATATCATGCTTACAACTCTACAGCTCCCAAGCCAACTTAATCTCATCCAATCAAACCATCTAAGTACTAACATTAAATAGTTGAGTGCTATGAAATGTAAGCTTCTTGCATTTGCCACACTCTCTTAAATCAGAAGTCGGCGATCTCATTAATCAACACGAGCTCCATAATATTCAATTCCCAGCACTTTTGTATTCCCAATGATTGATCGGGTGTATTTTCAGCTTTTGCATGTTCGATTCCCATATTCGCCAACGCCTCAGTCTCTCAGCCTTTAGCGCTGCCTCCGCCCGCTCCATCGGCTCCAACATAATGATCCGTTTCTCAACTCTTGCTAATGTTGACTCCAATCATTGACCATAATATCGGAGTGCAGACTAAACAGCGATCGCTCAAACCAATCAAAACAGGCACTTAACATTTGGGCACCCAAAATAATATAAGACGGAACACACAACAAAGCAGCAAATGCTCGTTAGTTGCTAAAGAAATAAAGAAGATGATGAAGAAGAAGAAGAAGCAGAGAATACGCTGAGTCATTCAAACATGGCCCAAAATGTGCGTCCAACTATTCTGTTCACTTCGCTTTGACTTCAACTTCGACTGCGACTGCGACTTCGACTTTGGCTTTGGCTTTGAGTCTCCCGTTCGCAATCAACCCAACAACGACTGCAACTATCTCTTTCCCTCTGCATCGCCCGCTCCCTCTCTCTCTCTCGTTCCAGTATTGCCTGGCAGCAATCAATGCTGTATGACAGCTAGGTTAACAGTCGATCCTACGCGCTTCCTCTTGATTTCGTTAAGTAAATCTCCAGCTTGGCTTGGGCAACCTTCACGTGCGCGTCGCCATCGTCGTCGTCGTTGTCGTCGTCGCCAGCTGTCCGTGATTCCCCTGCCTCTGCCTCCACTTCCCCTCCTCCTCCTCCACCTCACCTGTTCAGTTTTCATGGCTTGGCTGTCGAGATCATGATCATGGCTTTAACTGGCTCTTGGCAAGAGGCCAGAGTACGTGTATTTTTAACTTGGCTGTTGCTCTTGGCGTTGGCAGCGACTGCGTTTATTGTTGTGTATGTCTCGACAGACGACGGACAGATGGACAGACAGACAGACGGACACACAATGTTGGCTCTTTAGGAGCAGCCTATGCGAGTCTACCCGTCCCTCGGCACCTCCACACTCAAGCTCCATTGGCATCGGCTTCGACTCCGGCGTCGGCATCGGCGTCTGCGTCGGTTTTCTTTTTAAACGCTTTTAAACACCTGAGAAACTTGCTTTTTAATGTGCGCACATGTGTGCGGCTCACGATGATCATAACGATGATCATGATGATGATCATCATCATTCGAGTCTAGGCTCGGACTGTGGCTCGTTTGTGCGATGATGAAGCAAATATAACAAATCTCAAAGTTATCAGCCCGACACGTTGCCTGGGCCACGCAGCTGAGTAAATCAATTGACGCGCACAATTCTAGGAATTCAGCTCCAAGTGCAGGTTCCCTCTTTGCTCTCTCCCTCTCTCCACCTTTCCACCGCCGCCCCCAACTCCCCTAGTGGTCTCTCCCCTGCCCACGCCTAGCTGGCTGCTCATTTGAATGCGATCGCGTTGGCCGCTGCTCGTTAATGTGTTTGGCTGCCCCCACGGGGCATTTGGCAGCGGCAACATTTGTCAGACGATGCCTCCAGAGGAGGCAGCCGCAGCCGCAGCAGCAGTCGCAGCAATCGAGCAGCAACCGAGCAGCAGTCGAGATTTATACCTAAATGATTAACCATTTCTTACTCTAGGCTGGGGAGCCCGGATCGCTGCAGTTGCTGCCAGTGGGTGCCACTTGGTGTGAATTTGTAATGCGCCCGCTTTTTACTTGGCATTGACTTTGGATTTGAGTTCTGTGTTTTGGGCCCGACTCAACTGAGCTCGGTTTGGTTTGGTTTGGTTTGGTATGCTGCCTGCTTCCTCTGCTGACCATTCTTTGGCTGCCTGGCGATTGACACCTGCATGCATTTCTTGTTTCTCAGGTGTGCGACGGCTCCGCTCAGCGCAGCTCAGGTGTCTCTCCCCTCGTATTTGTGTCTGTGTGTGTGTTTGTGTTTGTTTCTTTATTTCATTTCTTCATCTTTTGCCTCTTTTTATTTTGGAGTTGAGTCATCGACCATTAACAATGTTGTTGTAGTTGTTGTTGCTGTGGCTATTGAAAAGGATTTCATTGCTCATCTCTTTTCATTTATATTTGTTGTATTTTGTGGCTCAGGTAGTTGTGTTGTTATGGCCATGTTGTGATTGTCCCACAGCCGTGC